ATTTCATGGAGTGATACCAACAAATGCAGGTTCATTTCAATGCTCAAATTACAATTCATAAGCACTCATGAACTTTGCAACAAACTATTACTATGCCTAAAACCCTTTAGACAATCTACAAACAGATTCATGACAGTCCTCTTTCATATCTACTTCCAACATATGAATGAGTGTGGATCGTTTGAATAATCTTATTATTTAGGAAGTCAAAACATGCAAAACTAAAAAAATAGATAAATAAACAACACAAGATAGTAACTTTACTCTTAAATAAAACACCATTATTTATATCAAATATCAAGTACAAATTATCTATTACACATCTCCTATCTATCTAATCTAAACACATATCGTCCTTTAGCCCAATGCTCCTAGCGTGCTGCAAGTGCTTAACCCTGCTCAGTCCCTTTGTAAGGGGATTTGTTGGGTTATCTTCTGACGATGCCCCCTTCACTATGAGGAGTCCCTCTTTTACCCGATCTCTAATAAAATGGTATTTTCTATCGATATGCCTAAATCTACCGTGATCCCTTGGTTCCTTGATTAAGGCAACCGCTCCTTCATTATCATAGAAAATCTCCATGGGCTCCTTTATGGATGGAACAACTCCAAGGTCTCCAATGAAGTTCTTCAACTATATTTCCTCTTTTGAAGCTTCACTTGCTGCAATGTACTCTGATTCACACATTGAATCAGCCACAGTCTCCTACTTGGAACTTTTCCAAGTCACCGCTCCTCCGTTAAGGGTAAAGACCCAGCCTGACTGCGAATGGTAATTATCCCAATCCATCTGGAAACTAGTGTCATTGTACCCTCGTACCTTTAAGTCCTCACTCCCATCGAGGACTAGAAGCCATTCCTTGATCCTCCGAAGGTACTTAAGAATATTCTTAACTGTATTCCAATGGGCTCTACCAGGGTTTCCCTGATATCTGCTGACCATGCTCAAAGCGAAGGCCACATCAGGGCGAGTACAAGTCATAGCGTACATGATTGAGCCAACTACGGAAGCGTAAGGTACTCAGCTCATATCAGCTATCTCTGCCTCTGTACTCGAGCTTTGAGTCTTACTCAGCTTGGTATTGCTTTGGATTGGCAACTCCTCTTTCTTGGAATTTTCCATACTAAAACGCTTTTAGTACCGTATCCAAGTATGTATGCTGACTAAGTCCTATCAGTCTCTTAGTTCTGTTGCTTACTATCCTTATTCCCATAATATATGCAACCTCTCCGAGGTCCTTCATAGCAAAACACTTCCCAAGCCATGACTTGACCTCCTGCAAGGTTGGGACGTCGTTTCCTATGAGTAGCATGTCATCAACATACAATACGAGAAAGCTCACAATACTCCCACTGGCCTTGACATACACACATGACTCATCTTCGCTTTGCATAAAGCCAAACTCTTTGACCTTCTCATCAAAACAAAGATTCCATCTGCGAGACGCTTGCTTCAATCCATAAATGGATTTCTCAAGCTTACACACTCTATTTGGATGCTTCGCATTGACAAAACCCTCTGGTTGATTCATGTAAACATCCTCAGCCAACTTTCCATTAAGAAAAGCAGTTTTCACGTCTATCTGCTATATTTCATAATCATGAAACGCAGCTATTGCGAGCATCACCCTAATAGACTTTATCTTGGAAACTAGTGAGAAGGTCTCATCATTTTCAATTCCAGGAGTTTGAGTAAAGCCCTTCGCGACTAATCGCGCTTTATAAGTGTGCACATTCCCATCCATGTCTTTCTTCTTCTTGACGATCCACTTGCACCCGACTGTCTTACAACCCGCAATGTTGTCAATGAAATTTCAAACTTGATTGTCGTACATGGACTAAATCTCGCTGTTCATTGCCTCTTTCCAGTTAGCAGACTCCAGGCCTGCCATGGCTTCCTTGTAGCTGCTAGGTTTGTCCAAATGTATCAGTGTTTCATCACTAATAAACGTATCCCCTTCAGTAGTAAAATGAAAACCATAAAATTAGGGTTGAACACTAACCCTACTGTAACGTCTAAGAGGTAAGGACTCATCAATTGGTTCAACAGGAGCTTCCTCCGCAGGCTAAGTGCCAGTGTTAGAAGTGTTTGATTAATGTCTAAGTCCATAACTATATTTGGTATGTACTTGACCCGACTCGGCATGGTCCATTTGGGTTGCACTTCACCGACACAATTTATATGGATAGTCTTTTGAGAATAGTATATTTATGATTTACATTAGTATATTATAACTTCTAATATATTAATAAGGAATCATATTATTTAATTAGTGTTGATCAAGACTTAATTTATAATTCATTAAGTGATCAAAATGAACTAATTAAATATGGACTCTTATATATATGGAATGGGCCATGTTCATTTAGGTTGGGCTAAGCTTTCATAGATAGTCCATGGAGTCCTTAACACATGGATCATATGAAATGAAAGGTCATGGGTTTAACCCTAGTCTCTATACTATATAAAGATGTCCTTGGTTGGTCAAATGGACACTAGTGTGGGTACACTATGAAGGGCTAGACGATTTCACTAAAGACAACCAAGTATTCATATTCTCTAAAGTCTTCCAAGGTGTTTTGGTGATTTGTGATTCCACTTGAGGCTTCCACACTATTGGGGCTAAGCTCTTAAAGCTTGAAGACATCAAGCTACATCAAAAGGTATGTTATCTAACTAGTACTTTGTAGTATAAGAACTTCATAATATGCTAGTTAGGATTAAAGCCTTGGAAAGATCTTATTTGCATGTATAATAGAGAAAACATAGATCCAAGGTATTTAGGGTTGCATGTACACTTAGGAGTGTTAGAATGCTCAAAACCCAATAGTGGTATCAGAGCCTAGGCTTGTTTTCTTGTTATACTTGCAAAACTGCTTAAAAAATCGAAGTTGTATGATGTCTGATCATCAGACTCGGCGAGTCCATGCATAAAAGGTGATCAAATCGATACAACTCGCCAAGTTGGTTCATGCACTCGATGAGTTGGACCGCCAAACAACATCAATTCGACTTTTTTGGCTGGAATTGTACTAGGAACATTACCCTAAGATGTTTTTGGACTTATAAACTAGTTTTTGATGTGGTAATGTTCATGCTAATCCAATTTCAAAGATAATTGTCAATAGATTCAGGTTTTCTATTAGTTTAAGGTTTAGACTAATTACATGAAAAGGTTTGATTTGAATTATCTTGTTCTTATCAGTTGCTTAGATTAATAGAAAAGTTGTGTGAAATAGTTGTTTTCAATCCAAATTAATCTAAGAGTTGATTCTAAAATGTGTTGTTGTAACTTGTCCTCAAGTTATATGAAAAGTCACATTTAAGTTTCATAAAACTCATAAAAGTTGGCAAAGGTTACAAAATGAAAAGTCTTGTCTCATTGAATGGTTTTATGACTCCATAACTTGTCCTCAAGTTATGGAAGTTCAAGAGTCTCTTCATTAAGTAATAAAATGTGTAACCTTAATTAATTCCATAAGTTATAAAATAAAGATAAGTTAATTCTTTTATTAATTTAAAGTCTTCCATAACTTGTCCTCAAGTTATGAAACTTGAAGAGTTTTTGGATTAAAACTACTTTAAACACATAAGTTATGGAATTAATTAGTTTTGAATAGTTTCAAAACTTGCCCTCAAGTTTTGGAATTTGTAAAGTTTTCTCTTATAAATATTTTAATTCGAAGTTAGCCCTTAGGGTTTTAAAAGTTAGAATTCAACCCTTATACTTTATAATATTATAAGTTAATATATATATATATATATATATATATATATATATATATATATATATATATATATATATATATATATATATATATATATAAGAGTAAAGTTAGTCTTACCATTAGTAGGCCTCATTCACGAAGCCGGTCTATAAGGGGGTATAAGGTTACTGCCTATCAAATGGCAGTTTAATGGGTGTCCACTCTCACCCACCGCTTCCTTGACCGGTGGAGGGTCGTTAGCTAAACGGGTTTGACAGGACTATAATTCTCCCTTCATTAAAAGTATTAATGATAAATACTAAGTAACTAAACTCTTAATAATACCCAATCTTAGTTACTTAGGAAAATGTGAATAAGGTGTCAATCCATGAAATTACACTTTTCACTTTGTTTAAGTCGGTTAGTGGAGCGTGTGTGGTTAACCAACACACTAACTCGTATTTAACAAGGTAGGCAAAGGGTAACTTAATGTTTATCATAGTATCGATGGAGCATGTGTGGTTAACCAGCACATCGATTGAGTGGTAAACACTTAAGGGTACCAAGTAATTTGCATGGTTACTTCACACCTTGTTTTGTGATCCTCGGCATCCCAGTCACAAAACCTGAAGGGCACGCTCGAGATTGAAACATGCCATTGAACAGTTCAATGAATCTCAAAGATCTAGGAGTTTCAAAAACCAACACTACTAGAAAAACAGCCTTTTACGACGCTCATTGTGCATCGTAAAAGGCTCAGACGACGCGCAAATGCGCGTCAAGGAAGGCCCTGTCATAAAGAGAGACGACGCGCTTTTGCGCGTCGTCTATAGACGACGCGCATTTAAGACGCTCATTTACGACGCGCATTTACGACGCGCATATACGACACGCAATGCGTATCAAGGAAGGCCCTGTCATAAAGGAAGACGACACGCATTCGCGTGTCGTAACCTTACGATGCGCGTGTTAATGACACGCACTGCATATCAAGAAAGCCCCTGTCAAGAAAGGCCATGTCATAAATGAAGATGACACACATTTTTGCGTATCATAATTTTAAATGTTTAAAAAAAATATTTTTTTATAGATTTACTAATTTTCAAATTAAATAATACATTAAAAATCTCATAATACAAAATAAAATACCATAAATAACAAAGATAATTCATTTCACTAATATGTCAAATACAAATAATTATTCCAAAGGTGAGTAAATGTTATAAAAAATGAACTCATTTATATACAATTGCATCATCTAGCTTACTATGTGCCAACAACTCTCTGTGCGTTTACTTTTTCTTGAGTCTCGTTTCCTCCAAACCTTTTAGCCATGCCAAAATATGATATCTCGAGTCTCGTATGAATAGATCGTGCGCAATAGGTGTAGCTTGTATCATTCCAAATAATTCCAATGCTAGTCTCTATACAAGCCAATAATTTGAGAACTTAATTTTACCATTATTATATAATTAATCAAATAAGAAAACAATAAATACCTTCTGCCATAGATGAAAGAGAACAAGATAAACAAGATCAGTATCGCCACTTTCAGTTGCCTTAGTCGGGGTTGTATCTTCTTCCCCAATGCCTAGTAACAAAGGAACCTGGAAAGGTGCTAATTTCCTCCTGCTAGTCTGATCTGCATGAGCAGCAACTGCAGCATAAGAAATGCTTCTGCACAATTTTAACTGAAAAATCCCAAAAAGTTAGCCATTGACATTTTTTAGTGTAAACAGGTTACAACAACAAAGATATCATGTAATCTAACACAACATTGATCTACATGCATTTACACACTAAAACATTATTCTAACCTCTATTGTGGTTTTGTTTTGTATTGTAAGATGGATATGCCACCCCAAGACCTACAAATTTAAATCATGCAACCTTTAGATTCATATAAACATGATGAGTTAACACTATTACAAAAAATTAGCATTTATTGGTAAGAAAAATTGGACACACCATAAGATAATTTCCATACAAACACTTTAAATGATGAGTTAACACTATTATAAAAAAAAATTAGCATTTATTGGTAATACAGAAAAAAAATTAATATACCGGGGGTATTTTAGTCAATACCTTGGTTTAGCCTTGACGCATAAGATAGAAGGGATAAAATATGCCTAAAGTTAATAGACAAAACCTATATAATAGAATAATCGTCCAAAAATATACACAAACACTTGCACACACTTACACATACTCACATATCTTTAAATAGGATCTAATTATGACCTTATATCTCTATTTATTTTTATTTTTCTGGGATAAAATATTAGTTTTCTAATCGTTAGCTAGTTTTCTTTTCGCTAATTACCACAGGTGCTTACTGAAATTCTTCAAATTTATTTTTATTTTTCAGGGTTATAATATTAGTTTCCTTATCACTAGTTTTCTTATATATATATATATATATATATATATATATATATATATATATATATATATATATATATATATATATATATATTACCTCCAATGGCTTTAGTAGCATCCTTAAGGCACCCAGAAAAGTATTGTTGTAGAACACTTTAACTACAGGGTGATTGACTCGGTTGACTACACGATATATGAAAACTGCTAATGCATCAAGAGAAAATGGATTTGATTCACTTCCTACAAAAAATTTAAATAACAACCAATCAAATTTATATCCATTTATAAAAAAAATAATAAACAATAAATAATAAAATAAGAACGTTCAGAATCTGGAACAATTGGTGCAGCAGATGAAGGAAAGAAGAGAAAAAGTTACCTGGCTCCATACTTCTTCATTAGGGGCATATTGTTCAAGAAAAGGCTCAGCTTCACTCAAGTAGATTGATGATGACAACTGTTTGTTCCCGTATTTCCTTCTTATGTACACTGCCCTAAAATTTTATATAATTTATAAATTCTTTTCTTATTAAAAAAATACTAAATCCTTCTTCCTTCATTACCATTCATCCAACATCTTACTGAGTTGTCTCTACTTTCCTGGTGATGTATTCCATATCTTCATTTGCCTACATCATGCAATTTGGTCTGATTATGACACAATGATATCAAAATGACATAACTGCCCTTATGTGTGAAGGTTACCTGAGGTAGTAGGTTTTATAGGCAATTGGACCTTCTTTGAAAAGAATCGACAACCTGTTGCGAATCAAGAAAGTTCGCAGCTGTGTCATAAGTCATAACTGAATTATGTCAGAAGGGTATAAAAGTAATTTCGACCACATAACTAGGGGATAATATATATAATACCTTATATGTAAGAAAATTTCAGCTTGATCATTAGATTTGCATCGTCATCTGCTAAACTGTTTTTTGTAGATGTTTCATTGCCATCTTTGTAATTTTTTCCAATGCCGGGGGTATTTTTGGAAATCTCTGCGGATTTCTCTTTACTTGCCTTGAACAGATTAATTTCAACAAAAAAAACCTCGATATAGTGGCCATAAATCTGGCTTGAATCTCATCTCTTTTTGGTATCTCCTGAAGGTTGAATCACTATGCACATGGATCACCATTTTATAATGAAGATTATCACTAGATATCGAATAATTTTGTGGAAATTATAGTAACACTTGAAAGCAGCAGGAAAACGTTTTTCTTTCATCAATCTGACCATTTCCTGAATAAAAAAAATATATCATGCAATTAAAATACTGTTTCTGTGTTATTTATACTGAACTTTGATAAAAGAGTTTGGATTACCTTTAATTTAAAGGTAGTATGATCATAAGGATTTGTTTGTAGAAATTTGGAAACAACTGATTTATCAGCACTTCTTGGAGGTATATCAGCAGCTTCAAATCCAAACCAATCCACATAATTTGGACAAAAAGATTTCCCAACATTTTGAAGAAGTGCCTTTATTTCAAAACCAATCCACATAATAGGGTCTTCTTCTATGATGGCATTGGGAGTGGCTGGTAACCCAAGGGATCTTCTTGATCTCTCTAGTGGCAACCCAAGGGTTCTGTCCCATATTAGCTGTCAAAGTCAAAAAGAATACCATTAAATCTGAACAAACATGAGTTATACCAAATTTGCTGATGAAGGGATGAAGTTATACCAAATTTGTTTCTTCAAATGTACAGTGTGTGGGTTATAACTGTGTAGGTTCTTCAGGGAAAGTCTTAAGGAAGCTTTCAAGAAGCTCATCAGCAGTATCAATTCTTTCATCACCTTCACCAATTATCCAAATCATCAATGCCTATTAAAAAAAACAATTATTAGTAAATTTCTACATAAAGCAAAAGAGAGAGAGAGAGAGAGAGAGAGAGAGAGAGAGAGAGAGAGAGATTGTAGAATTTAAAACAATTATTTTACTACAGACACAATAAATGATCTAATTAACTGCTCTTGATTGTGATGCCAAAACCAAATTGAGAAGGCAGAAATAAAAAAACTAACTATCAATTAAATCTTACTCCACCCCACATGAATTGATCATCAAAATCTGGAATCTGATATACGAGTTCTTTAAAAGATGTTATTATCGTGTCTTAATTTTCGGCCCCTAAAAACATAGACAGGGCATTATGCCACACCAAGCTATGCAATCAAAACTGTATTGAAGATGCTACCAGAAGAAGAACCTAAAATTGTATGCCAATAATATCTACTTAAAACTTCTCCCTACCTACGGACCAATAACCCTATGGATCTGGCATAGTAGAGCCTTAATTCAGATTCAAATCAAAATCAAATTATCATCCAAGGTAAGAAATTGAACAAGGATAACAGTATTTGTGATAACTTAATCGACCTATCAACCAATAACCTGATGCATCTGCCATAACCATGATCGAAGATAATAACATACAGGGAGAAGCTGGAATTATCATCATGACCCACTTGGATAATAATATATAATCTTTAATTTCTTCCAGATATAAACTAATAACCCTATCGATCTGCCACAGCAAGTGGATTCGTAGATAAATTCTTAATTATAACCTGCATCTCCTCATAGAAGAGACCATAAAAAGAACCTGATAACGCTTAGAACAACATAAGAGAGGAAGAACCTGGAAACGCCTGATCATAAAGATCTGATCTTTGAGATTGAAACTATCGACAGATCAAATCTAAATTACAGAGCGTATATGAACCTGCAAACCTTTGTGGATTAAGATTTTCCATGACGACTTTATAATCATTAACCATCGATCAAAAAACAAATCCTCCAAATCAAAATATCAAAATATAGAATATAACTAAACATTTTTGAAGGGATTACGACCCGTTTTAGATAAACATCAGCCATAAAATAATCTTCCTGTTGGTCGAGCATTCACAGCAAGGGGACCTCTGCGAGGTGGCCCTGTTGGTCTTCCACCACCAAATGATCTTCCTTGACCTCGACCACCACCACCACCACGAGCCCTACCTCTCCCTCTATCTCTAATCTTCTTCAAACAGATTTTGGTGCAAGACTGGATCAGCTGCTGATGCAATCGTATACGAATCGACAAAATCAAGCAATTGAAAGAACTGTTATAGGATCGTTAGTGATCTAGGGTTCGAGCATGAGAAATAAATAGGGTTTGAGCATGAGAAAGAACTGTTATAGAGATGTAGCAAGGTACGAGGTGAGATCTAGGGTTCGAGCATGAGAAAGAACTGTTATATAATCGTTTGTGATTGGATTTCATTGGAGGGTGGAGATGCAGAAGAGAGAACACGCAGTAGAGAAAGGTGGGGCAAGTTCTTCACAAAAAGCCCTAGCTCCGATTGGATTCCGGCATCGACGAGGCCTTTGACGCCGGTTTTTGTTTGGTCGAAATCTTTGAGCTCTAATTGTCGATCGTAGCTTGAGCCCGCTCAAGCAATGGTGGCAGCCATTTTTGTGAAGATGATCGTGTTATATATGCGAAGGTATTCTCTAGAAAGGTAGTGAGCATCCTTGCAATTGTGGCCCTATGAACGTAAAGTGTTTGATTTCTTGTGAGAAATGAAGCGATAGAGATCGATCTATGGAGGATGTGGGTCGTTCTTTGAGGGATGAAAAAACCCTAGTTTCTTAGACTTTTTGAGTATGGGGTTTTCTAAATTTTAGATTCCCGCGAGGTATTAAGGATGGAACACGATGTTTGATGAGATCGATAAGGAGGTCAGGAGTGGCGGGGAAGCGGATCAGAGAGGAGAGAGAAGGAGGGAGCGAGAGGGGAGAAGATGAAAGATAGAAAGAAGGTAGAGACGACTTTTCAAAATTTTGGGGATTTCGTTTCCCACCTCTACTAAACACGCCTTTTCATTAAAATTATAAAGCGACAAATATAGAGGACGCACCTTTAAAATAAAGCGCCCTCCGTGTTTTTAATTTCTTTTCGTGAGACACTAATTTAAGGGCACTCAGTAATTCGCGACCTAAATTCTTAAATTTTTTGAAGAGATGACTCTTTTTTAATGTCGCTCTCTAATGCGTACATAAATCAAAGAGCGTCGTGTTTTGCGCGTCGTAAAAGGCTGTTTTTCTAGTAGTGCAATTAAAACCTAATAATACATTTCGTTTATCTTGGTGGAAATTGGTGAATCGTCATTCACCTACCTTCAAATATTTTATAGCTTGGATTACGGCATCCCTCTTCTAAATTATAAAATAGTTTGTTGGGTCCTATCCTTAATATTTCATATTGGGTGTCATATTAAGGACTTTAGATCAACTATCTTGAATATCTCCCAAAAGATGTCTAGTTTAGACATCTGTGATCTTCCCAAATCTCTTAAAACAAGGTTTCCTAAATGAAGATGATGTCCTTTGGAAATCATACTTCTTTAACCTCCTCAAATTATTCTCCCTAACCCACAAGTTCAAGGTCACTCAAGCCCTACTGGCAAGGAAAGGTCTAGGTGTGATCACTTCTTGGAGATGTAGTCACACATTGACAAGCTGGGAGAGTTGGGTGTCAAAGTCTTGAGAAAGTTGGTGGTTTAACTACTTTATAAGTCACATAGTGAGTTCTTTTGGAACACCTATGAAACAGACTATGACAAGACCCTTAATGATCTTATCTATTTGCTATGATCAACTTCCTAAAACTTTATGGACATTGACAATGATGACATTGGATATCTAGTAAAGCTCTCTCTTCCCATGGAAAGGGATCGACCATAGTCAACTCGGTTGACCAAATGGTAAAGAGAAAGGCCAAGTCTGAGATAGTCCCGTGTACCATTATCAAAGGGTCCATATGTTTATATTGCCAAAGAAAGGGGCATTAGTTGCAAAGCTGCCAAACATACCTAAGGATGTTAAAGTTAATAAGTTTGACTCTACTTCAGGTAAAGTCCGCTATCTAACTCTGCTAAGTTTCTATTATGAGATTCTTGATACATGATGTGACTGGGTCACATGGTGATGTTTTAAGAATCAAAGAAAAGTGAAGAAACTTAAAGAAAGAATACGTTGAATCTGATCGCGTAGATGGATTTCTATCGCATAGTTTGAAGATTGGATTCTTGAGCTACTTCTTAGGAGTTATGAGATATTGCTTAGGAATAGATAACAACAAGTTTTCATATGGATTGTAAGGATAAGTTTTTTCCGCAAAGTTTTAAAATAAAAGAAGAATTTTTTGATTTTATTTATTTTAAAATATCCTTACAATGGCATTTGAGGAAAATTGTTGCTTATATGATTCCATTAATAGCAAGAGTGGAAATATGAAATTGATTCTTTCATTTGTGGTAATGTCTAAATTTACCAAATAAGGAAAGATTCTCATCACCCAAGTTTCAATTGGACCGGAACTTGGAATCATGCAAGTTGTATAGCATGATGAATGAGAACTTTCAAGTATTGGAAAATTAAGAATAATTACTTGTTCACATGGATGTGTGAGTCAAGTAATGGACTAAGGGATCGAGTACACATTCTTGTGCAGATTAAGTCCACCACAAAATATTGATAAGATTATTCGTCATAGTTTACTAAAGCTCAGTAAATATGGTTATACTTACAAGCTTAAATGTAACTCTGAGACATTGGAAAAGGTTCCAATGTAAGGCAGAGCGAATAAGAAGAATCAACTTAGGCAGAAAGATAAAAGTTTCTCAAATCTGAAAAGATGGGAGAGTACTTTAGTATCAGTTTTGTGATCATCTTAATGATTAAGAAACCATAGAACAATTATTTCTCTAAGGGAATCTTAGTGCATTCTTATGACTAAGAAGAGGAATCTTGAATTGTTGAAATGGTTAAGTCAAGAAGATGAGTCATACTTCGTTCCAATATAAGTCTTAGAGTCATACTCCAAGATTGTAATTTGAGTGACATGTCTTAAAGAAGGTTTAAAACACTTGTCAAATGTAAGAGTAAAAGTTTCCTACTCTTGTACATTTGAAATTGGTAAGTTGTGATGTTTTGGATAAAACAAAGACCAACTAAGGCCAATTGTGTGAAGTGTTTGTCTTGATTAGAATCCGCACTATCTCTTGGATGTTTGACAAGGGAGTCTTATAGGTCAAGAGGACAGTGGGAGTCTTAAAGGTCTTGAAAGTCTCAAGAACTAATCAAGAATAAAACCTGAAGTTCTTCACTAGCACACGACTTGAGGTTTATAACCTTCATGTTGACATATTCTGTGCCCATTCCAGTTAAAGTTGGCTTTGCATATGAGTTCTTAGAGTTCTCAATTGGTTGTGAAACAACTTGGAAGCAATGGCATGCCCTTGAGCTGCCAGGTGGCAAGAAATCAAGATTGAGTTCAGTCCATATGAGTTTGGATTTCATTATCCTTGTCTTGTGACTATGGTTTTGACAATTCACATGGATAAGAACACATACACCAGTAAATCTAAGTGTCATAAGGTTTCTCTCCGATTCATGAAAATGATGGTGAGGAAACTCTTTCACTAAGTAGATTTTAGCTAGATAGCAATTGTAATATTTGCATTCTCAAATCGTAGTGGAGCTGTGTGGTTTACCGGCACACTAACCTGGACTTGTGAGAAGTGGAAAGGTCTAAACAATCAAGACTATGATTACGGCATCCCTTTTCATAGTTCTTAAAATTGTTCAGACACACAAGTGTGCTATCTAAGGCAAGGTGTATGATTTTGATAAAGTTTTATCAAAACAATTAGTATCAGAAATCTGATCTTTGGTAAGAAAGTTAGCTGATTTCTGAGTACATGTCAAAGCTAGTGGGAGCATAAGTGTTATGCTCATAATCATCATGTTAGTGGGAGCATGATAATTATGATAAAGATTGCAAGTTAGCAATGTTAATTATAGAAAACAAAGTTTCAATTGGGAAAGAGTTGTTTTGCTATAATTAAGGGAGAGGAAATTATACTTCATCTCAAATCTAAAAGCTTAGATTGAGGTTTTAATCGTATTTAGTCAAGGATATATATATGAATTTCATGTTGGAATGGCTCAACATAAGGAAATTCTGTATATGGGTCCATTATTTGCGTTCTAAAATTCGATTATGATTACGGCATCCCTTTTCATAATCTGAATTATGAGAACTTGGCAAATTGAAATGGAAATAGTATAGCAAAAGACTGGTATTATCTTTATGTGAGACATCATGAATCGTGTCCCATATGCTTCGAATATAGGATCGATTACATGTGCTATATTCATCCGTTCTAAAATTTTCCAAATGCCTGGGGCATTAAGAAGGGAAAAGGTCTAGAATTGGATATGACTAAAAGGATTAAACAATTCTGAGGATGATCTAAGGTTTACCAAAGATTGGGTGCTCAAGGACAGTTGGAAGTATAGTATTAATTCTGGAAGGACCATGTTGACATAATCTGTAAGAGCAACTCTTGTTCAGAAGTGATAGTCAAAATGAATCTGGAAATGTTTCAAAGTTAGAAATTATTCAATCTTGTGAGATTAGGAAACTTAATGCAAGAAGGATGTTTCCAAGGAGCTGATCTCCTTTGGAATAATCTTGTAATGATTGGTGCCAAGTCTTGTGAATTTGTGCATAATCATTACAAGAAGATCAATGCATATAAGTTTAGAATCTAACAAATTTCAGTAAATGGCATGATTTGGAATTCTTGCATTTGCAGTAAGGATTTGGGATTGTGAAAAAGGATCATTGGAGTTATGTTCAATTATCTATTTTACAAAGTAAAGATCATAGACAAACATAGTATGCATACTGGTGTATGGCATGACTAGTGTTTAGAAAACATAGTGTACATGCTTGGAGCATGGGACAACTATTGTTTTAAATTCAAGAATAAAGTTGATAGCTGAAACAGTATACAATGAATAATGTGTAATCATATTGTGATAAATAAAAGGTGTTTTATTTATATTCATAAGTTCTGAGACCATATTGGATTCGATTATTATTGTGTTTCATTTTGCATGTTTTGACTTCCAAAATAAACTAGGTTATTCTTCCGGAATGACTAAGTTATTAAACCATCCACAGTCGGTCATATGTTGGAAGTAGATATGAATTAAGATTGTCATGGGTTAGCTTGTAGAGGTCTAAGGTGTTGGACAAAGGGCTACAACACTCATGAGTGCTCATAAGTTCTGAGTATGGATTCAACCCGCTCATTGGAATCACTTCATGGATTTTATCACGAGTGATCATGAGACGTAATATCTTATATTCTTCAAACCTAGAGATATGAGTTGTTACTATGAGTTGGTTGTACATTGATTGCACGAAAATGCATTCGGTAACTCGGTGTTATAAAACGTGCCTTTGTGTATTATTCAACAAGTAGTAGAACAAGCCATATGATCGAAGTTTATCCATTCCTTTTACCTTTGGGATAAAAGCGATATATGTGGCCCCTCGATGATTTGATGATGACAAATGGAAGTGCTCGGCCGGGCCAGGACTGATTTGATTTGCTCAATTAGTCAGTCATTCAAAATCGGAAATCGGGGAAACAAAAATGGACAGAGAGAATGATTATAATCCATGTCTCATAGTCTAGAATGGAGGAATATATGATCCCTTATCTAATGACAAGTTCGTTGACAAGATCAGAGTTCGACAGCGGCTTTAAGAGCTACGATTGCCAGTTAGGTTTTGAAGTCATACTCAATAATAGTTTTAGACTTATCCAAGTGAGGGACTGTTGGATTAATGTTCTAAGTCCATAACTATATTTGGTATGTACTTGACCCGACTCGGCATGGTCCATTTGGGTTGCACTTCACCGACACAATTTATATGGATAGTCTTTTGAGAATAGTATATTTATGATTTATATTAGTATATTATAAGTTCTAATATATTAATAAGGAATCATATTATTTAATTAGTATTGATCAAGACTTAATTTAGAATTAATTAAGTGATCAAAATGAACTAATTAAATATGGA